CATAGGCTTGTTTTTAGTAAATTTCTAATTTTAGGCGGTTTCTATAGTGTGATCTTAATGACAATGTCGAGGGCGCATAATGTTACGCGAGGATGAATCTCTTCACTCCCAAGCGGATTTCCTTCACTCACACAAAACTGGACGTGTGCTTTTAACATACATCATTCCGCAACACAACCCCCCCACGGCCACCCTCTTTTGAGCCAGTGCCCCCGACTGGCCCCCCAGTATGAGAAAAAATATATATACAGTGATTCTTAATGTTTACAATAGTCACACACAATGGTATTTACAAAGCAGTCCAAAGATTACCAAGATTAAAGGGTTAGTTCACCCAAAAATGAAAATTAGCTCATAAATAACTCACCCTCAAGTCATCCTAGGTGTATATGACTTTCTTCTTTCAGACGAATCCAGTCGGAGTTATATACAAAAACGCATCGATTCGCTACAGAAGGCCTTTGTTCACCCCCCGGAGCCATGTGAGACACTTTTTTTTTATGGATGGGCGCTTTTTATTTAACTGCTTTTGGACTGATGCATGCAACACCTGCTGAGTGCCATGTAACAGCTTGAAAGATCAAAGACAATTTTTAATATACCTCCGACTGGATTCGTCTGAAAGAAGAAAGTCATATACACCTAGGATGACTTGAGGGAGAGTAATTTATGGACTAATTTTCATTTTTGGGTGAACTAACCCTTTAAGAGGACCAGTCATTGCTACTTACAAATAAATGTAAAAAAATTTACAAAAAAAAATATTAAAAAATGTAATATTGATTTGAGTTTAACTATTTCAATAAAACGCATACAAGTGATAATAGATATATGAAACTAGCAGTAGGAAATCAGTTGTCTAGGACAATAATCATTATACAGTTTAGTGGTCATCATATCACTTACATTTTAGTAGGCTATTTAGTATATCATTTTTAAAATTAGATTTTCTCTTGAAGTGAAAACAAACTTAACAAAAGTGTGCAGTTGTAGGTTATAGTTACCATCCTGTTGCATAATCTGATCCAGACTCCAGATAAAAACATTTTCAGATAATTTCTAGCACGAGATATTGCAACAGCAAAGCGGATACGGTTTGCGAGTTTCACTGTTGTTTTTGTACGTCACGGTGAACACGAAGACTCGGGGGTTTCCATGGCGACAGTCACAGATGATGTGAGTCAGTTTAGCAACTGGAGCCTGGCTGATGGTAATGAGTGTTTCTCACAGCTGCAGTGGCCTGATCGCAGCCGTCCAATCGGCTCGGAAAAACACTAGGATGTCTGCTGGAATGTTCTACAGATGCTCCAAAATGCCAAGTGTGATCAATGAGTGTGTGTGTGTGGGTGTGGGTGGAGTTTCTCTGTCTTGTTCTGTAATATGACTCATGCTCATAGATTATTGGGGCAGCAACAGGCTTCGCTTCTCTTTTAATACATTTCTGGGTGAAATCATATAACGTGATCGATCAGATCTTCACGTGTGTGTTTCAAATGCATTTTCGCATCAGTGAATGTCACTGACCTTTAAAAAGAAACTGAAACACAACTAACTTCTCAAGGTTATAGAGGTGCTAAATGGCTTACTGTTAAGAAAGTGTGTGGTACAGTAACATTATGAGTCAAAAGGTTACAAATCAGCTCTTGATTCATGTAACAGCTAGTCTGAAGTAGTTAGATTTTTTTGTCTGTCCAAAAAACTAGCAATGATTATTACAGACAGGAAACAGTGGAATATCTAGTGTCTAGTTAAAATGCAACTAATTTCTTTAAGAACACCCATGGCATCTGCTGAGTACCTTACCTTGTAAAGTGAAAGAGTAAGTGAAAGTCCTGACATTTGCCAAGTACCCATACTCGGAATTTGTGCAATGCAATTTAAACCCATCCAAGTGCACACACACAGCAGTGAGTAGTGAACACACACACACACACACCATGAACACACATGATTTCGTACAAAATTTTTAAAATAAATAAAAAATATATATAAAAAAAACTAATAAAATGAAATAAATATTTTATAAAATAAAAAAAAATTACATTTAAATTAAATATAAAATTAAAAATTAAATATAAAATAAAATAATTAAATCTGAAGACTAAAAATGTTCATATTATAGTTCTTAAAATAAAAATATAAGTTATTTAAAATGGCTATAACATCAACCTGGTACGTTGTAAACCTGATTTTTCGAACGAATGAACGAACAAACAAACAAACAAATGAATACATAAAATAGTTCAATCTGAAGACTAAACATGGTCTAAAATTTAAAAAAAAACATACGTTGTTAAATCTAGTGGCTCTAAAAACACCTATAGTATCTGCCTGTTAACCTGATTTTGTTTAAATAAATAAATACATACATACAAACAAATAAATAAATGTTAATTCCAGTGGCTGGAAAAACACCCATAGTATCAGCTGGGTAGCATGTAAAGTAAGTTTGTAAGTTTGTTTAAAAAAGTAAAATAAAATAAAATACAATAAAATAGAAATGAATGAATTAATAGTAGAATCAGCTCAGTATCTAATAAAAATTTTTATTAAAATAATAATAATAATTATATATGTTAAAATCTGAACGCTCCTGAAAAGATGAGAAAAGAAAAAGACCAAAAAAATCTTGATCCTTCAGTTTATTTTTTACACTGTAAATAAATGCATACAGGCCATCTGCATACTACGCACAGTATACTGTAAATACTGCAAAAACTGTGCAAGTAGCCTATAGACTATATATCTATGGGAGGCTGACATAAATGTCTGTGTTTGTCCACAGGCCGCCGAGGTGGAGAAACAGTTGTCTACTCAGGTTCATTCTTTACGGGATGATTTCAAAGAGAAAAGTCTCTCCACCAACCAGCACATGACGCGCCTTGAGACCCTACAGGCCGAGGTGAGGCATTATGGGATGTGGACTGTCTTATTTGCAGTGAGTCATGACACCATGATATATTTCAAAATCTGCTTTCCTCTGTTTTCCTTCCTCAAATCATGATTTGTTTCCTGCACTAAACAGCAAGGGCTTGAAGTAAGTGCTCATGAACCGCTTCCTGTTTTCTGCATGTTCGTTTTGTGATGTGAAGATCTCATTGTGCGATGCAAAACGCTGCTGGATCATACCCTGATTGCTTTATGTCCCATCTGAGCATCAAAGCAGCTAGAAAAAGTGAATGTGGGACTTTTCACTAACTCATCTATGAGAGACGGGTGTGTAATTGGCTCCTGGTGTCTTTGTTGTGACAGCGCAGGACAAACAACGCCAGCGTGAGTTTCACAGGCCGTCATCAGTGGACACGCTCATATCACTGGTCTATTCACAACAACAAGATCAAAACAAAGCTTCGTTCAATTCCGAAATAACTGAGGTTATTCTGAAAAAAGTGATTTTTTATTAAGGGAAAATTGTGGATCTGTAGATTGTAAATTGTGGAACTGTTCCAAAACATAGTGAACGGCCTACCAGTGTTATTTTAGTATTATTAAGATAGTTTGTGTATATGTGTGTGTATACAGTATACAGTGTGTATATATATATATATATATATATATATATATATATATAAATTTCATTTTTATTTTTGTATTTTCGATTATTATTAAAATTTTAGTTAATGTTTTAGTAATTTTGATGTGTTTGTCATTTTTATTAGTTTATATATATATATATATATATATATATATACACACACACACACATGCACAGTATATATTAGTTATTTTTTTATATCAAGTTAAACTAAATGAAAATGAGAAATGTTGCTTTGGAAATTTTCTGAAATAAAATAAGTGTACGTTTTTTTTTTATATTAGAATTTAATTTATTTCAGCTATTTTTTATTTTATTTCAAGAAACAAAAATATTTTTATGGGTTTAGTTTTAGTTGACTATAATAACCCTGCTGCCTTTTACATCAGTTTTACAATTTGCATCCTTTATTGAAATGACAATCCCAGAATGCATTACGGCAAGCTCAGTGAAAAAATTCAAGCAAGATGGAAAGAAAAATATTAGCTGTATACTTATGTCATACAGTACTGAAGAGTATTGATAAGAATACTTTAATCTGATTAAATATAAACTATTTTACCTAATATGGGTATGTTTCTGTGATCAACTGCAAAAAAATAAAAAGAAATTCTTACTCAGTATTTTTGTTTTGTTGTCCAGTACAAATATCTAAACATTCTTAATTCAATATACATTTACTTGACAAGCAAAAAAAATAAAAAAAAAATTAAAATAAGTGAGTTTTTGCTTAAAACAAGAAAAATGGGGTGGTTAAAAAAAAAATCAGTTGTAGAGTATATGAGGTTCATTTCATTTCAGGATGCTCCCTTAGAAGGCCGCTGCCTATGTAGACAATATAGGCAGCAAGGCAGCTCACTAGGTTTTGGAACAGAGCCCACATGTACATATTAACAACTGCTCAGTATTGAGCAACAGGAACTGGCCTGATGAGCAACACTACGAATGAGAGATTAGCCAATCATAACAAACATAATTTATATAGATAAGTGTTAAAGGTACAGTAGCGAAACAGATAAGTGTCTAAGAAAAAATTACCATGAAACACTAAAGTATTAACATTTCAGTAGATTATAGGAGAAAAAAAATATTTATCAAAGGATATATATATATATAGAGAGAGAGAGAGCAAAAAATGAATACTCTCCATACATACATCCACATCTACTGCATGACTAATAGATCTGGTTTTGTTCTGCATGTGTAAACTATGTAATTGTTACACCTCAACAACATTTTTGTTCTTGTAAAACACACAGACATAAAGGTGGGTTTTTCCTCTAGTACAGTGGAACTGTATAACGCCAATTCAGATCTTAACATGAGTTTTGCAAATACAGAATCCTCGGGTCCTGTTTTTCAGTCATAGCCAGATACTGCATGTCTGGAAAAAACCTTCTCTTAAAAGCAATCTTAACGTACGTACACTGACTTCTCCCATCTGCTCGCTGACAGCTGATCCTGAAACATATGAGAGATGTCAAGCTCTGTAAATCAAATACTGAGAATTGAACCCCTTCAAATCACATATATCTCCAAGATATGGAGCAGCTGATCGAACAGCTCTCATGCCCTGTGACTGAAGGAGAAATCCACCTGAAATGTACGACTGTTCTTGCTTGTTGCTAATCACATTACAGAGCGCTGGAATATGAGCGTTATAATAAAATGACATGACAGATCTCTATAGGACAGATTATGATATATAGCCATGTAGCTTAGAGATAATGCACATGATCTCTGTTCTATACTTACATGGTATTACCACGACAATACACCATATATTGACACTGACCACATACAGTGTAAAGAAGCAGCGACAAGCCTCTCATAGAAGAATGAATGGGAGAAAACTCAACGCTTAACATAGCGGCTAGATGTAGATGTAAAGGCGTTTTAATAGCGAGACTCCCATGTGGAGTGTGTGTACTAGAGCTGTAATTGAGCGGGGGAAACTTCTGTTCTATTTTAAGAGCAAATGCTGCAAAGTCTGGGTGTTCCCGAAACTGCAGTCAGAGCCAGACAGAGAGAAACAGGAGTCTATTCCAATCCATGCCGCTTCTGAGCCGACCGGGACATAAATATACCAGTGTCACTGTCTAGATCAGCTGTTTTAAAATTTAAATTTCAAGAGAAGCAGATATATGCGTTTAAAGTCCAGTGGTTCTGAAGGCAGGTGCAGCATACGGTTAATCACAGAGAATCCCTCAGTGCTGGTGAACTAGGTTAGCAGATCTAGGTCAAAACAGGAGGGAGAGACGCTAAAACTTCTGCTCATGTTTGTTTCATGGGCTACACACACAAATCAGGACTCAAAACTTTGTGTGTGTAGCACATCTATTAAGGGAAACCTTTGAGATGATGCTGATACTTAAAGGAATAGTTCACAAAAAAAAAAAAAAGGCTAAAGGTGTCCTCACCCTCAGGCCATCTAAGATGTAGATGAGTTTGTTTCTTCATCAGAACAGATTTGGATAAATGTAGCTTTGCATCACTTGCTCACCAATGGATCCTCTGCAGTGAATGGGTGCCGTCACAATGAGAGTCCAAACAGCTGATAAAAACATCACAATAATCCACACCACTCCATGAAGCCAAACGCTTTGTGTTTGTAAGAAACAAATCAATCATTAAGAACGTTTTTTAACTTCAAACCATTTCTTCCCTCTAAATACGAGTCCATAATCCATAATAACGCTTCCTCCAGTGAAAAAGTCCATCTCCTGTTGTCTCTCAAATCAAAATACACACACATATTTGTTTAGAGCTGTTTTGGCTTGTAAACGGTGCTTGATCTGTGCAGATTTCTCTCCCGATTCAGACCAGACCAAAAAAAAGTCTCAATGATGGATTTGTTTCTTACAAACACGCAGCTTCTGGCTTCACGAGACGTTAACTGATGGACTGGAGTGCTGTGGATTACTAGTGGATTATTGTGATGTTTTGGATCCATTGGTGAGCAGGTGATGTAATGCTAAATTTCTCCAAATCTGTTCTGATGAGGAAACAAACTCATCTACATCTTGGATGGCCTGAGGGTGAGTAAATATTCAGCAAATTTTCAATTTTGGGTGAACTATTCCTTTAGAACGTTCGCTAAACGCATAAATGTTAAAGGGGTCATATGATGCGATTTCAAGTTTTCCTTTCTCTTTGGAGTGTTACAAGCTCTTGGTGCATAAAGAAGATCTGTAAAGTTGCAAAGACTAAATTCGGCCAATCACAATGCACTGGGTCAGCTGGCCAATCAGAGCAGACTGCGCTTGTCAAAGGAGGGGGCTTTGTTGAAAACGACGTGTTTGAGAGAGGCGGGGCATAGAGGACCTACAATAATGTACAGTATTTGAAAAATAATGTGTTTTTTGAACATTAAAGCATGTCAGCATATTCTGTTACACCAAATACACAAAATAATGATTTTTAAAATAGGATCATATGACCCCTTTAAATAAAACAGCTGAGAATGCCATGAAACGTCTTAAACTATGAAAGAGCAACCTCTGAGCAATAGCATATTCTAGGAGTTGTTTTGAAATATTCCCGTTATCAAGAGCACATTCCTGACTATGGAGGTGTTTGTGACTCCCTACCGATGCCTGGCAACACCGCATTCCTACAACTACAGGAACGTTTAAACTAATCCACTAAACCACACTTGAGTTTTTCAGATACATTAGACTCATATACTTTACATGTAAGGTTTAGATATATTATGATTCATTCGTTTGTAAAGTTTTACAGTTGTTTTGCTCTGAATAGACTCTAAACAGAGTCAGAGACTAAAGCTGTACAATGCTGATGTCCGTAACCTGGTGTTTTTCCCACTCTCGTTATGCAGATAAAGATGTTGTCAGAACGTAAGCAGGAACTGGAGCGACGCGTGAACGCCATGCTGGAGGAGAACCAGCAGCTGCAGCACACGGTGGAAGACCTGAGAGAGCGAACGCTGCTGCTGGAGAAACAGTGTCACGAGAAGGACTTGCAGGTGAGCGACCATCACACTGCAAAACAAACACACACATTATAATCACTATTCATGATTTGGTTTTCAGCAAATAATTGAACACTGAGAAGCAAAACTGTATATGACTGGAAATTAATAAGCATTCATGTCATAAATCCCATAAAGATTTATGCTTCAAACAAAAAATGTGTTAAAAAAGATATTTTCTTTCTTACTATATATCTTACTTCTCAAAATGTACCCTGCTTTATGTTGTTTACATATTTTTACTGCAAACCCATGTGGCCAAAAATTATTATTTTTTTATATAAAAATAATGCCCAATATATATATATATATAAAATATAAAAAATATATTTTCAGTAAGTTTTACTTACTTGTATTATTGATTGAGTGATTTATTTTTTTTGTATTTTTTTCCTGTATGGGAAAAAGATACAACTAAAAAAGTTCATCTTTATTCACTATGGGTGAATCTTATGAAATCTTTCAAGAACGTGACATTATATTATATTTCACCTTAAGTAAATAAACCCAATTTAAGGAGCATTAAAATGTCTGTATTGTGACACTATTTTCAAGACAATTAAACACATTCTCCTCAAATTCTCATTATTGTAATTCAGCCGGAGGTTTTAATTTAATTTAATTTTTTTGTAATTCTCATTGTTTTCAAAATGTTTCTTATTAGTGAAATACAGTAATGAGTTTTTTTGTTATTAATAAATTGAGGATAAATGAAATGCAATACAAAAGTGCTACCATGATTTATAAATAAATTTGTTTAATTAACGTGAACATGAAATAATGCAATAATGTTAAAAATCCTAATGGTCCTAAAATAGTCTTTTAGCAAAATATATTTTTTTATTTCGCTCTTTTGATTTTGAGGTTAATTCTGAAAGGTACATCCATTCATACATTATAAAAAGGTGATAAAACCAGCCGAACAATATGTTCTGACTGATCTGCACCTGAAACTGAACAGTGATTCGGAATGAAATCAAGTCATTGAAAACTCGGCAGATAAAAGCTGCAGTCCAAACTGAGTGAGAATAACAAACAAAAAAAGTGATTCCACAGAAGTCATTCTTGTTCTTGCTCCATCTAATTCTGTGTTATTAGAGATTAGCAGTTCATTGTTTTGCTGGAGAAACAGCTGCATGTGTTTGATTCACTGTTATTTGTGTTTCGTTGGACGGCCTCCAGTTCTCAGGTTTTTTCATCAGCTGTCAGCGTTTAGGATTTACAGAACATGCTGTTTTTTAACATGCGCTCTAAGTCATTTATTTCTTCATTAAAGAAAGATTTACCTCTAAAGAAATGAATAGTACTTTTTAAAAATTGGATTAAAATGATGCTCACTAAAATGAGACTCCAGTCGTAGACTGAAAAAAAAAAAGGTTTAAAAAAAATTTCACTCAGAAATTGCTATTCAATTTCACAAATAATTACAAAGAAATGGCAAGTAACTCACTGAATTAAATGTGAATTTTTGAAGTAGAGACTGAAATAATATTTCCTTATAATACGTGCTCCAATAATCTTTGTGAGCATGGAGCAGGAGGAGCTGGAGCAGGAGAGAGAGCAGGTGCATCAGCCATGCACCGCCCACTTAGACAGGAAGAGACCGTCTGATTGGGCTAGAATGGATACAGCTACGGCCAGATTGTCCTGCTGGGCACGCGCACATCAATATTGCGTCAATTTTGTCACACTGAACAACAATTAATTGCTGTATTTGCATTATTGTAAGGTTAAATTTAAGGTTGGGGTAGGTGTAGACGTTAATTAAACACAATCTAATAGGTAGCAAATTTAATTTATTGTTATTTTCCTTGCTTATTGCTTAACTTTTAGTTTCAATCATAGAGCACTCATTCCGTTCACTGATCGTCTGATGAATATTGTAGACTAAAATGAAAAGCTTTGCCATAATTTGTGCTGTTCAAAAGTTTGGGGTCAGTAACATTTTTTAAATTATTATTATTAGAATTTTTTTTCAGTAAGGATTCGTTGACTGCATGGATTGATCAAAAGTGACAGAAAGACATTTATAATTTTACTAAAGATTTCTATTTCAAAGAATTCATCAAATAATTCAGAAAATAAAATGGATCGTTTCCACAAAAATATGAAGCAGCACAACTGTTTTTAGCATTGACAATAATCAGAGATGTTTCTTGAGCAGCAAATCAGCATATTAGAATGATTTCTGAAGATCATGTGACACTGAAGACTGGAGTAATGATGCTGAAAATTCAGCTTTGATCACAGCAATAAATTACATTTTTCAATATATTCACATAGAAAACAGTTATTTTAAATTGTAATAATATTTCACAATAATTCTGTTTTTACTGTATTTTTGAACAAATTAATGCAAATTTGGTGAGCATAAAATCTTATGGTTTGAATGGTAGAGTATGTTTAAAATACTTCTAACAATGAATAACCAATGCCAAGTAAGTATTAATATTTTTCTTAAAAAAAAAAAAGTACATTTAGATATATATTTACATTTAGTCATTTAGCAGACACTTTTATCCAAAGCGACTTACAAATGAGGACAATAAAAGCAGTCAAAACTAACAAAAGAGCAACAATATATAAGTGCAAATGACAAGTCTCGGTTAGCCTAACGCAGTACACGTAGCAAGGTGTATATATATATATATTATACACACACACACACACAAAGAAAAACAAGTAGATAGAATACAAAAAATGGAAAGCTAGTGTTTTTTTTTGTTTTTTGTTTTAAAGTGCGTTAGGCTGCGTTAAGATAAATATAGGTAAAGTAGAATTAAAATAGAATATAAAAAAGTGCTAGAGTTAGAGGGTCAAATAAAGGTGGAACAGATGTGTTTTTAGTTGTAAAATAATAAATAAAAATTTTACATTTAAATTTTTTTAAAATAAATAAATAACAAATACCTTGCAAAATAAGCAGTGTCCTGTCACTGAAGACATGGATCCAATGCTCCTGAAAAACCTGAAAATATCAGGAAATTTTACATTTGTGATTTGAAGAAGTCATTGAATTGATAAAATTGAAAAAAAAAAAATTATGAAGTGCATATACTAGTCTATATAGTGAATTTATATTTTTCTATTTAGGCACAGCTCTCAAATATTTCATAGGCTAGAAATTGCTTTTTGCATGAACAAATGTCTATAAAATTATCTTTAAAGGGGTCATATGATGTGATTTCAATTTTTCCTTTCTCTTTGGAGTGTTACAAGCTCTTGGTGCATAAAGAAGATCTGTAAAGTTGCAAAGACTAAAATCTCAAGTCCAAAGAGATATTCTTTATAAAAGTTAAGAGTCAGCCACACCTACCTAAAACGGCTCGTTCTAACACGCCCC